ACCCATCGAAGGAGTCAACTGAACAGACAGTTTAAATGACACACCTAAACTACTGCTGGTGTCCTACAAGTTTACCTGACTGTTCACTAAACAAATAAGAAAAGCTCTCAGGAGACTGAAATGCAATTGTAATTGTCTTATTCACATATTCAATGATCTGAGCGAGCAGGGCCCTAAAGGCAACATCAGCACTTGAAGGCAACACCCACATGAGACTGAAAGGAAGTTAGCTGAGGCAGTACAAATAGTCCCCAGCCAAAGCAGAACAGTAAACACGCCAGTCATCTTTCTCTGTCTTACAAACACAACACAGTGTCAATATAAACTTTGTAAACCACCTTATCAGCGGCGATATATTTTTATCTTCTTCAGACCACAAGAACAAACACAAGGGAGGAGGAAAAACTACTCAGAGTCCGTAAAAGGAAACGACAGGTTTTGAATAACAGTAAACAAACCTGGGAAAGCACTAACCTTTACCTGGACACTCCGTTAGACTCCTTTTTAAGATTAACCACAGCTAAAGTTAGTATTTTAACTGTATCTGAAACAAAAATCAGCAGCTCGTCGCCGTTCAGCAGTTTGCTAAAAGGGAGCGGCACACAGACATACACGCTGTGATTGGCCAAGCAACTACACGTCTACGTTCTGATTGGACAAACAGCTTCACATCCGTGTCCTGATTGGACAAACAGCTTCACATCCGTGTCCTGATTGGACAAGTCCAATGTCATTCACGCCCTCTAGGTTTATACGTTTTTCCAGTTTACAGCAGCAACAACAAAGACTTCCGAACCAACTCCTTCAAAATAAAAGCGGCACCACAACAAGTCAAATCAGTTCCTACCAACAGACTTTTCTGCAATAATCATCTTATAGTTTTTTTTCTGTTCATTTCAAGCAAACTCCAGCAACACAAGAAGTATAAACAATATATTTGTTTTATGTCACATGTCAAAAGACCATGGACGTAGGAGAAGCATAAAAAGAAACCAGAAAAGCAGCTTAGGTTGAAATTAGGCAGCTTGTAGCAAGTTATTTGTTTCTCTTGACAAATAGATTGACGAAATGCAGAAAGGATTGGTCATTTGCAGTCGACCAGCCATTTATAGCAATGTGGCTTTGCCCTATTTCATGAGCTTCTGAATCAAGTTGCCACAAAGCCAAACAAAAGAGGCCAAACACCAAGCAACACTTGCAGTATAAACATAAACTTTATTAATTGTATTGTCCCTTGTTGGACGTAGAGTTTTTTGAAAAAAAAGGAATTTAATATATTATTTTTTTGGATCTGAGCAGTTCAAATGTGTCCTTTTTTCAAATTGTTATATACCACTTTATGACATTTAGTGGAGATTTCCATCCCATTAAGAACTTCCAGCAAAATCTTCCTTTTGGAGGTCAAGATTGAACTTCAAAACTCACTGGTAAAAAATGTACTGTGTGTTTCGAATCAAACACTACAATACTAATATGCCATTAACAGATTTAATGTCCCAATACATACCATCTCAAATCAGTAGCCTATGCCAAAAATACCAAAATGTCAGAGGGTCAAAATTAATATTGCAATGTTACATTATGAAGCAGTATGTCCCAATTGTATGAATACTGCATGCAACAGTGCATACTTTGTAAGTGCAGGTGCAGCATGTACAAAAGGAAAAGGAAAAACGTGTGCAATTTGGAAAAGTAAATGTGCTTTTATGTTGAAGGGCAGACTCTCAAACCGGAAGTACTGTTGTTAAAGCTAAAAGCACTCTGTCTGAAAATCAGCTGTACTGAGATAAGAGAGAACACAGAAAAGTCTCAGAAGTATAATGGGGATCAGAATACACAGCAGAACAAACTCAACACAGCAGGATCCATCCTCCTCATAGAAACAACACAGTTTAATTCTGTTCATCCTTTGCAGTAGAGACACAGTGAAGTCAGAAAGGGCAGCAGCGCGTCACATCACTAATGAGAGACAGGACAGAAAAGACCAAACATAGAAAAATACAGTTCTCAGAAAACAAAAAGGCATCATCTCAATAACCAGTGTCTTGTAAATGGCAAACACACAAACACGCACACTGACACACTCCTGCCACAGCAGTCTTTGACTTCATCCTCTATTGAACCAATTCCCTGGAAAAAAAATAGTCATAATCTTACAGCTTTAATGAAGAGCACAAGCTGACACAATGTGATCCTGTCAGATGGACTTGGGAGGGAATAAAAGGGAAAACTGGATTCTACTGAATTGTTGTAATTTACCTTGATAAATACAAATAAATTACTCAAAACGATATCACTAATTCTTTAATAATCCTTAAACAGGAAGTGTTTAGTGACAGTCTCAAAATTACGTTTATTATACAACTGGACTGAGCTACTGTACATCACAGCACCAGAGCACTAAAGCTATTTAAAACATGTTCATGGATAAATGGCTTTTTAGAATTTGCTGGTAAATAAACAGAAGAGAATGGCCCTATATGCAAACATCTACACTATACAGATCACCTTACACTATCCTACACATGGCACCCTCTTCTTTGAAAGTCTATATAGATCTATTGTAGCGGTAGTCCCATTACTCTAATTTTTTATATTGTAAAATGCCTGAACATTAGGCATATTGTTTATTTATGTATAGTATTTAACTGAGCCAACACTGTGAAAGTCATTGTTAACTTAATGTGGCCCTAGTTTACAAATGTTATTGTCTCTCAAGGACAAAGAGATGCTGCTCTCTGCTAAATGCATTGAGTGCCTATTTATTAATGATTCATAAGTTAGTACCTTTCTTACATATTTTACTGTTTGGTTTAATTATGTATATTTATTCAGTTTATATATTTAAAAACTAAAAAGGTCCATTGCAGAATAGAGATCTACTGAAGCAAACAGAGACAATGCAGACAGCAGTCTTTAATAGATGACCATTTATGATTAACAATTTTGTATCTGTTATATTTTTTATAAAAATGCAAAAAAAGGAAAAGATAAAGCAAATTATTCTGCAATATATATCGGCCATTAGCTGGCATGCTCAAATATAATCGGCATCAGCCCCTGAGAAATATTGTTCGACCAATACTCTACAGGCCACCATGTATCAACTATAAGCCACCACAACCCTACAGGCCTCTGGTTTGTTATTACAGTCTAGTGTATAGTGTTATTATTGGTAATTCTTCATCTTCTAAATGGAGCATCTTTGTATCCGTCACTCACCTGAATGTCTTTCTTCTGTCTTTCTATTGATCAATCAGAGGAAAGGGAGGGGGAGAGACACACCTCAGCAGGTGAATGCTTGATATCTCAGTACATCTGTCACCCACTCACACACAGACTCACTGTTCAGACTTACATCCTTTTCAGAAACTAAATCTGTCATCAGGATTTTTTCTTTCATGCCAATGCATTTCTCCAATCACTAAGTGCTAAACACAGACACAATCATCTTTACCAACAACTACTTTGTCTAGAAAGGGTTTCAGTTGACTTTATTAAAGCCTGTTTATCGATTTCTATCTCAAACACACACTTGCATGCACAGCCGGAAGGAAATTGACATCATTGTACCATGGTTTGGAGGTTAACCATTTCCTGAAGACTCTTCAGCCAAAACTACTTAAACTGATGCTTCCTGCTTTTTAGGTTGAGTACTATGAACCTGTTAGAGACTGCGTGTGTGAACTAAACAGAAATGACTGAGGCTATAATTGAATTATAAATCTGCAGCATAAATAACCTAACAGAAGCAGAAAATGGCTACAGTGGTTAATTCGATTTAGATCAAAATAGTTGAAATCTATCATAAAGCACCTATTCACGCAAATATTTTACAATTTGTGTATTATTTTGTCACAGGCCGGGTTTAACAACAGCAGAGCTATAACTAAAAAGATATACGTGAGAAAGTTTCACATCCATCATCCCTCAGCTGAGCTACTGGAGCACCCCATGGTTTGGAACTAATTGATTGTCTTGGGATAATGTATGCTCCCCTTATTTTTCTCATGCCATTAGGCAGTAGGAAGTATACACCGTTTCATATCATTGGTACAATGGGTCATATCCAGTTACATCTTTGGAGCTACTTTCAGAATGACAACACAAGTGCGTACCAGAGTTATGTGACAGACTTGATTAAATTCTGTTAGTGAAACATTTTTTTGATTACCAATGTTATCCAACATTACACAGCTGATTATAAGACCAAGTACATGTGCCAAATATGCTCTTACAGTGTATGCATATAGCTGGTAAAGAAACCGTACGGCCTGTAAAAACGTTATGGACTTTTTGATGGCCACCAATGTAGCAGCACACAGGGTTTAGTCCCTGTATGTCAAGAACACAACTGTGGAATTAAGTGTTGTGACTCACGATTGAGCTAGAGCCACTGACGCTCTGCTAAATCCACTCTAGGATGATGTTAGGGGCGAGGTGATGATTAGGTCTAATGTAATAACTGCACAATTAAGTACATAAAGTTTAGTCTTTTTTGACATTCAATGTTTTCGTACATGCATTATGTGTTCAGAAACAAAGCTTTGATTTAAATGTAACCAAACTTTAATATGACCCCATCTGATTGATGTGGGCACTTTCTTGAGAAAATGTAATAATTTAATCTGCCATTTATCACTCCTGGAGTTGCCTAAATGTCAAATGACATTAGCTGTTATGTTACCAAAACAAGATTCGCTGCAGGAAAATCTTGAGGTGGATTTGCGAGGAAATACACAAACAAACTTCTACAATTAACGCAAGGAGTTAAACAGCGTATTAGCAACCCAGCAGCTCTCAGCTATAGCATGCATGCTAAGAGTTATTTTAAGTACCTTATATTTCATTGAAGATGTTGAAGAGAAGATCATCTGTATTCCAATTAAAACCCAACCAGACTTCCAAAGTTTTACAACATTAAGAAATAAGCAATTAACTCAAATGTAACCATTATTCAGAAAAGTTTCCATCATCAGACAGTGAAGAGCAGACAGTCAGAGAGAGCTGATCGCAGGAACGTCCTTTTATTAGCCAAAGCAAAGGAGACCCCACATCATCTATGGTTATACGATCATACAAGTTTGTTCACACTGACAATAGAGAAACAAAAAGAAGCTTGAAGGTGGAAACATCCAACACATTATCAAACATGTACAACAGAAAGCTACCAAACAAAAAATCGCTACAGACTTTATCCGAGTGCAGTCCAAACACCGATGAGCATGTGCTGCAGAAAAGGAGGGAGGGGGCATTGTTCAAACACAGCAACATCAGAAAAGATTCAGCGGCCAAGTCATGATTATTTACAAAATAAAAGTATGTCCATCACGCATCCTCCATATAGCAACAGAGCAGTGTTGCAACCTTTTACCATAGCGACGACACTTTAGGTCTGTATAATTCTTACCATAGCAACAGAGCATAAACATTTCACGATGGCATCGTAGCTTTTAATCATAATTTTAACACAGCAATAGAAAATGGGAGAAATAGAGAACCAACACTTCACCTTGGTGTAAATGCCGTATCATCTACAGCATATTTTATCATGGCACCAGAGCACGTGAAGATTTTAACATAGCAACAGAGCATGTAAAGATATACCCATGGAAACATATTTCATCATAGCAACACACTGTGGTATTTCAGCATCAATTTTTCAAAAGCAACAGAGCATGATTAGGCATTAGCATAGCAACAGAGCATGTACATTTGAAACCTCAGCAGCGCGGCATGTTTAAGCGCATACAGCGACAATGTTTGTCAACCTCAATCATGATAAGTATAATAACAAAACAGGACAACCTTGGACATGATGTGCAAAAGGCTGCACTGGAAACAGGGCAAAAAAGCAGACAAAGTATCTTCAAACATATACATAATCATTTTTCATCAGTCCGTTTGTGCTAGCAGAGTCAGTGAAGGAGCGGCAGAAAATAACAAATTCTGGATTAAGTCAGGGGTGGGCTTACCTACCATTATCTATACAAAGCTGGAGGGGCTTTAGTAATGACTGACAATCAGCGGCAAGGTCAAAACTGGGCTATTGGTTTAATACCAGAATATGGTATGGTTTATGTTGCCCTCATTACACCATGGTGTTAGGGTTACGGTTCAGATGGGAGTCACATGCTTTTTTGTGAGTCTGCTTTGGGTGGGGCTTTAACCAAGGCTTATCTTGACTTTGCGTGCTCCAATAGGTCGGTCATTGAGGTCCATGACAGCGGCAGAGGCCTCCTCATGGTTTTGAAAGGCAACCATGGCCTCGCCAGTTGGCAGACCTTTCTCACTGAACTGCAGGCAGACTGAGCCTTGTAGCACCTGGTAGCCATAAAAGAAGTCCATGATCTCGTCTACGGTAACAGTGAATGGCATATTCTGAAGCTTTACAATTGTCGGGCCAGGGGCACCTCGTTGACCGTTGGGATTGCTAGATCCTCCAGGGGCCGGCTGGTTACGGTGACCTTCAGCTCCTGGACTGAACGCCTGCGGCCCACCAGTAGCCCCACCCCCTGGACGTCCTTGATTGTTGTTAGCCCCCCCCCCTCTATTCTGACCACCTCCACCTGCTTTTCTGTTGACATTGTCAAAGGGCACTAACCCTCTTAGCCCATCTTGGTTGAAAGAAGCGCCTCCTGCTACTCCGGGTCGAAAGCCTGGTGGCTCCATGATCGGAGCTCCAGGAAGACCAGCAATTAGTGGAGGAGCCATCCCCATATTTACATCTCCCAACCCTGCTGCAAGGGGTGGTAGAGGAGGAGGGCCTGCCAGCCCGTTCCCTGGGGCTGAGAATGGACTCACAAAGGGGGCATTGTTTAGGTTCCCCATGGTGTTTCTGAGAAAGTTAAACTCCTCCCCGCTAATCCCCGCAAATGGGTTTATCTGGGGTTGCTGGGGAGAAGGCTGGGACTGCTGGTGCTGGTTCTGATTTAGATTTTGGTTCGGCTGGGTCTGGTTGCGTTGTCCCCTCTTATTCTGGGGAGGGGGGTTCCTCTCAATTTCCTTCATCTGCTCAAAGGTTACCAGGTGGACAAATGCATCGCGACCGTTGAGTTTTTGGCGGTGGAGTCTTTCACCTTTTCGGGCATCTTCCTCTGTGCGCAGCTGGAAGATTGCTTGACCTAAACCATTACCATGGCTATCTGTCAATACCTTTAGGGTGTCCTCGTACAGCCCTACACCCTCCAGGAAGGCACGGACATCCTTCTTGGAGACATTGTAAGGGATGTTGGTGATGTGGGCACAGTTCCTGGGAACTTTTGAACCGTCCTGGTTCTTGCCATCGCCCTGTGATGCTTCACGTTTGCGAATGCTGTCTATCTTTTCAAGCATTCCCTTACGGTTGATTGGGTGGACCTGGATAAAGCGAGTGCCCATGTACTGCATATGAGAGCCCAGAGCAGTTTTGTAGTCTTGTTCGGTTTTGAACTCAAGGAAGCCTTCTCCTGTGGCTCGTCCATTAGGCCCGTAGGCAATGTAGACACTGTCCTCCAGGACGGACAGATTATTGAAGAATTCCTTAATCTGTTTCTTGTCGGCCTCATAGGGAAGGCCTTTCAGGTAGACACAAAACTCCTGCCGATGTGGAGATCGTGACCTTGCTCGCTGATCTCTACCTCCTGCACCAGCATTGCCACGCCGTTGATGCTGGTCCTGTGACTCGTTGCTGTTCATTGATTTGCTGCTATTGTGGGGAACATGGCCCATCATGCTGTCATTGAGACTGGCCCATTGCCGCTCAGAGCCTGGGGTTATCTCAATAAACCGTTGGCCCATCATGCCACCTCCTCGTTTGACAGCTTCAAAGCTGTCCTGGGGTGAGAAGAACTTGACCATAGCCCTGCCAGTTGGCCGACCCTGCCCATCCCTCAGCAGACGAACCCCATCCACCCCCAGACCCCGGAAAAATTCCCTAACCTCCATCTCTGAGCAGGTGAATGGGAGATTGTGCAGTTGGATAAACAACTCATCTGGGTGGGCCACTCCGGCTCCAGCTGCTGCTGCAGCAGCAGCAGCCTTCATGTGTGCCTGGAGGCCCAGAGAGGCTAGAGGGGAGAGAGGGTTGAACAGCATTGGGTTTGGGGCACCAAGAGGGAGGCCGGAGCCCATTCCTCCTGGGGGAGGGAGTGAGGGGTTGAAGGGAGGCATGGAGGACATGTGGGAGAGATGGGACATAGGAGGCACTGGAGGTCCTTGGGACAGGGGGGAGATAGTGGGCATAGGGGGAAGGGAAGACACTGGAGGAGGAACTGGCATTGTGGGCAGCGTTGGCATGGGGGGCATGGAAGGCATGCTGGGAAGTGGAGGGATGGGTGGTGGGCATGCATTGAGTGATGCCAGAGCTGAGGTGATGGTTGGGGCAGAGCTGTAGCTGTTAGGGAAGCTGGGAAGAACACTAATAACCGACTTGTGGCTCTGCGGCTCATGAGATGAGCTTGCTGCTGTCACTGAAGCTGGGTTGTTACCGAAACCTTGGTTTCCATGGCTACTGCTTCTCCCCCCGGTCCCTTGTTGCACTGTAGGTATGGGGGTTGTGCCTGCTTGTCGGTGAGCATGTCCTGCAGTTGGTGCAGCTGTCTCCCCAGCACCTGCCCCAGCCTCAAATCTGCGGCGGCTGAGTTCAATCATGTTCTGCATCTCTGTCTTGCTGCTAAGCAACAGGGACACTTTTGAGCCCTTAATAGCCCCACCTGTACGCATCATGCCCAGCCGAGCGTCCTCATCAGTTGCAAAGACAATGAAGGCTTCGCCATGCTCACCCCCAACAATGTGAACTCCCCCGTCAGGGATGGTTAGGCCAGAGAAGAAGTGTCTGATGTCCATGGTGCCAGCCACTATAGGCAGACCCTGTAGCCTGATGACTACTGCCATACTGACTGCTAAACAACAGCCCTACAACCTGGGGAGAAAGCAACACTACTGTCAGATGAAGAGCAGAAAAGGGGGGACCAGTGGTTTCCAGATGTTTCCTCAGGAAACTCATCTAAGACTTCATAGGCCAAAAAAGGCTAATCCAACACTTCTTACATTTCAGTTTCTTAAAATTACTCTTTCAATAACTAAAAGGATCATTTTATAACTATATATGCACCCATTTTTGGGTCCTGACATTTGGAAACCAGTGGTATTTGGAAAAGGTTTGGGGGGGATGGGGTGAAACATATGCAGAAATTGACATTCTTCCTCCATCAGCAGCTTTGAAAATGTTTATAATAAACTTGTTTCTGAGCTTTGAAAATGAAGAGATCATGCTACAGTCCGTTTTCAGACATCAGCATTTGATACACACTTTGCAATCTTAAGAGTGAACATGGCATCAGTTCTTGTTTCTAACTTTTGAAATGTAGCACTTTAAATGTATCCTTACTGTTGTCTAGCATGCAATACAAACATGTTGTTTGTACTTTGAAATATTCTGTTGTCAACCTTCATGTATCTCATGCAACTTGCAGCTAACTAAACCAATGCAACAAGAGTGTGTATATTTTCACTGTTAAAACAGACACTTAAAATAAATGAGGTCAGATTAAATATTGTTGTTCAATGTTTTTGGTTGGCAGGTTGTCCTTAATACATTTATATCTGAATAAAGAAAGAATTGAGAAATGACTGTGTGGTGTATAGTATCAGCCTTGCTTGTAAAAGGTTGTACTTTACCGCAACAAAACACAACAACAAAAAACTAGAAACTAAAAGCATAACAACCAACCGATTTTTAAAACTAGCAGTAGGGAAACAAATCTTAGATCAATGAAGCCACTCAACCCGAGTCACACCTTTTCAAAACCAAACTCCAACATTACCTAAGCTGGCATGGTACTCAAAATATCAAAACAGACTCTCAAACTGTCATCCAAAATGGTCAAGTAATAAACAGGAGATTAAACATGCCGAGCTGCAGTCAGCAAGCTATACCCTGCAAAAACCACCAGAAAATACAAGACTGAGGGTCGGAATGATCCTTCTACTGCCTTCATTCTCAAGCAACACCAAATTAGCAAGCAGCACTTTAGCAACTTGTTGTCAAAAGAGCAAAATATCAACCAGCAAATCTGCAAAACGTTGTTAATGAAATATCATGTTAACACAGGCAGCAGCAGTACCTTTTTCAACCAGAGCAATAAGAACCACCAACATCTTTACAAAAGCGATGTCAGACAGTCAGGAACAAAGCGTTAACGAGAGCAACAGTAGCATCGTGTCAACCAAAGCAACATTAGCATTATATCAACCACAGCAACATTAGCATTATGTTCGAAAGAGCAACATCAGCACCTGATTGACAGCACAGCACTCAAGACAGCAGCTGGTCAGAATAGAAAGCAAACGGAAGTTAAAAGCAAGACTGACAAAAACATGTTTGCTGCTTTCACAATCCTCAGACACATTTTCAGCTCTCCGAAACAATCCTGATCCAGGACCATTCTGGATGGACAACCGATATTTCAGGCACGATGAATATCATTAAAGTTGCTGGTAAAAATTGTTGATATTAAATATACAAATCCTGAACGGGGTGTGTGGCAGCCACCTACAGCCTACCACAGCTTTAGACAAGATGCCAGACATTGACACCATCAATGATTTTAGAAGTCAGCCTCAAACAGACAATTCACACCAACACCATCACATGATTATCAGTTTTCCCGACACCTTTTTTGAAATTTCAACCTGGACTTTCAGTACTCAGGAAGTTCTCCCTCTGGGTAATAACCTGCAAACAGTCTGTTTGAAACATCAATGGCAGCAAGAGAGAAAACACAGTAGGAGAGGAAACAGCAACAGCTAATAGTGTCAGAAACAACCAGAGAAAGGTAAAAAGTTTGAACTAAGGCTGCAGTTCGCACTCACATAAATCAAGAAAAACAATAGAGTGGATAGAAGACATAAATGAACTTCCTTCAAACAGCCAGAAAACCAGAGAGACATTTCAATAACGCATATCCAATTCAGGATTACATTGAGACGCACTGCCTTGATTTCTCAGTTTAAAGCTAGAATATAACACTGTCCACATGTTGCGCCAAACTTAAAACCCAGCAAAAAGTGGAACATCCATGGATGAAACAACTCGAGCACAAAAGATTAAATCTATTTCAGAACAATATGGCTGATGTATGGATGTACATCCATACATCAGCCAATTCCAAACCCAAATCTCAAACAGACAGGACATAGAAAGAGGGTCCATTGTGTTGCAGCTGGAGCACACAGGCACACCATATCCATTCATTTATTTCCAAAGTGACAATTAAAATCCCTGGTTTACTTGTATAGAACTCAACTGACTTGTACGTGACAGAAACGGAAACAAATGAAGTACAGCACATATCCCTCTTATCATTCCCTGACTGAACTACAGCCCCTTTCAGGTATTCCTCTCTTTACATAAATGTTACGGAGATATTGGACCTGTAACATTTCTTTAACAATTTATCAAATCAAGTAATTTAAAAAGAAACTTGATTGAAAAACTAGGAAATGTTATTTAGCTAATTTAAAAATGATTAAGGGACATTATCAATGGAGGTTAAAAAAATAATTAAAAAAAAGCAGATATAATTAAACCACCAGTCTCAAAACATAATTATTGTAGAATTCCACCAGAAAGAGTTGAGGGCCATCCACACCAAGAACGATAAATATAAATATATTGTTTTAAAAATGTTTAAATTATACAACAAATGTTGCATGAGTGAAAGAGGTAATGCCGATTTACATTTGTCAGAAAATGTTTAGTCGATGCATTTCGGACAAGTAATGTTGCAATCGATTCAGTCGCGATGTAAAGACAGCCAGTCAGCATACTTAATCATCATTCAGTAAGCAGTATGCCATACATACTGATTGAGTATGTAGTATGCAGGTAGTAATTGATATGCCAAAGGGTCTCTTAGTATTGTAGCAAACTGCAACAGATCCTGACTGTCTCGATAACAACCATCACTCATCTTGAACCAACTCATATCAAAAAGTTTTAGCAGAAAGTCCCGCCACCTCCAGTAGACCATCATGGGATCCTATTTTGGAAAAAATATGCATCTGACCAAAGGCATTAATACATTACTTATTTTTACTAAATTAATGACATTAACTTTTACAAGTTTAAGGACCTAATCATTTAAATAAGGGCTTTTCAAGTGTTCGTACTGGTAAATTGAATAGCTCAAGAAAGAATGCTGATTTGTTAACGTCTCGTTCCTAATGTTAGTCAACAAAAGGATTATTATGACCAATGACGTCAAGGAATAACAAAGACGTTGCAGTACTACCGTGTGGCCACTACGAAGATGTTCTTTAACGTCTGGCTCACTTCCTGGGGGCCTGCCTAGCTAGCCTGTTAGCTACATATATTAGGTTGAATAATAATCTATTAAATGGACCAATATCATGTATGAAATTCATGGCACAATTCAAACAGGATCAAAAATGCTTCGTCTCTCAAAGTTGACCACAGTGCATATTCTTTACGAAATAAGGTCCCATGAGGGACACCGGAGGGCGGGACTTCACTACTCTATGAGGTGACGTCATGACCATGTGGGTGTGGCTTGTAATCTGCAGTGAAACACGACAAAAAACTGACCTCAGTCACTAAAATTGAGAGCTCAAATTCACACACCAGCTTTTTAAACCAACCTGCCAAAACATTAATAAGCAGTCATTAAATACCCGACAATAAAATTAGACAGCGAGATTCGAACAGTGATACCTAACTAGCTAATTCCCAGCAGAAATACTGAATGAAGCTAATTTAGCTTAGCTAAGCTAACGCATCGTTAGCTACCTAGCTTGTTGTGAATTCTGCTTTGTGTATGTATGTGTTGGACCGGAGCATCGAGCAGCTTTGAGCGGCTCGGCTCCTGGTGTGAGTGCAGAGCGGACTGACGCTGCTTGATTCTTACCGAGAAATTTGTCAACAAACACACTGAGGTTTAACTCATGAACGGGGCTCTTTTCTTCTCTCCTCTCCTCTCTGCTCCGTAGGCTGCTGCATGAAATGTCGGCTCGAACACCACGTGATGTTGACGCGAGACTATGGCAAGTGTAGACGTCTCAGCAAAATCGCCCCCTGCAGGCTTAAGAGGGAGTCAAATATATAATAAACGATACATTCCCCTGATTTGTAGTTTATCCTAATATACAATACAAATGCATTTTCTCTAAATATGTGATGGAAACTATGTTTTATTCAGTATGATATAACAACTACTTAGTTGTATATTATGAAGTGAAATAAATAGAGTTAAAAAATAGGTAATTGCTTCTGCTTATGGGTCTGTAGTTATACATTGATATGTAACAAGAACACATACAGCTTATGTAGTATTATTAATAAAGCATGTGCTATTTACAAAGATTTATTGTATTGTATTTTATGCATTATTGTCCCTATTTTTGTATTGTGTTTATCAGGATTCTTGTTATCCAGACCAAATACCCCTCAGTAATGGATGCAAGTATGTAACTCCCTGATACAAACAAAACAAGTTTATTGCATAACCAAAAAGCAGAATTTTATTGGAAAATAATGTATATGATGAGAGTAACACTAGAAGACAGTAGACAGAGTTGAAATATTTCAGGAACACAATACAAGTCTTTTAAAATCCTTTTTAATCCAGTTTGGTTGTATACTTTCAGGATCACCTACAGATTCCCATTACAACCATACTCATTAATCTCAGTGTCATTGTTTCTCAAAAATCAGTTGAAGAAAATGTAAGGCTACAGTCTTGTAGAGTGTTCCAGACATTAACACAAAATCAAATTGCAGCTCCTAACACTGTGAAGACTTCTGATAAACGTACATAACGACACTTTTTATTTAATACTGGAAAAATCTAATTATAAAATAACTGTAATGTGAGTTCTGAGATAAAGAGGAGTCTATTACAGGAGAACAGAGCAGGAGACGATATGTGAATCATCATATATATTCTTGACTAAAAAATAATAACAAGTGAAGCATTAAATATTTAGACAGCTCAGTACATTTCTGTCCTGACGGTTCAGTTACAGACCCCAGCCTCACTGAAGTACACAGCCCATCATCGTTCCTATTGTATTTCTGCTTAACACCTTTTCAAGAGCCTGTATCACAAAGTGAGGCAGCTGTCTACCTGACGTTTCTGGTGTAACAAAACTGGCTCACAATCAATCAGTTTAGATCACTTTTCTAACATGGCCTGCAATGCTAACTGACCTTAGAGCAAGTTCACTTCAAGTAGATCAAAACCGACCAATCACATTACAGGAAAATGGGGAACAAGCAGAGTCCCACAATGATTAACACAGCCTTCCTTTCATAATTTTAATCCATCAACAGCTTAATTTATTCTAGCCATTATATAGTTTACCTCACTGAAAACCACATGTTGCTGCCTTGATATTCTGGTTGGCAGTCATCAATTTAATTTTATTCTCATTTCCTTTATTGGTGTTTAACAACATATTTGTTATTAACGGTTATTTGGCTTAATAACGCTTAATAGTTGGTTGCATGTTGTTCTTACTACTTATTTATGTGTCCGTTTGTGTTTTCTATTGTCTAATGTTGATGTTATATCAATAACTTCATGGTTTTGATTTCATTTAACAGGCTGTAAGTAGGTGGTTTTCTTAATTTCAACATGCTCACAGCTGGGTTATGAAACCCAGAGATAACTGAAAGTGAAGCTAGGTATCCCAAAGAGAGCCAGACAAGATAACAGACTTTGTGATACAGGACTCAGGTGTTACAGAACGACACAACAAGCAGAGGCAGCCACATAAACTCTTCAAAAATAGCATCTTCTGACAGCAACGAGAGGTATTTCTACGGAGCCACAGAGCAACAGGTACAAACAGACTTCAAGTCGGACAGGAAGTTTGTGCGTGTTTGTGCATTCCCAGATTTCCCTGGAAATCAATTGCCATCGACGTCTGCCAGGAAATAAACAGGAAGTGGGAGGAGTCTAGTGCTGCGACCACTTGATGCTCTTTAGATCGATGCCT